TCGTAGTGGTACAGATTCGCATACGGTTTTATACCTTACAATTAGATGATGTTCATTATAAAAAAAGTAACAACAGAATAAGTCAAATCAAGTGTCTACAAATATAGAATGAGTAATACCTTTTTGGATCAAGTAATCTATCAAACTGTTGTAATAAGCAACTCCATTCCAGTTGATTTTACCAGTTCCCTCTGTTTTCATAAGCTTGAAGTTATATATAAACCAATCTTAATTAGATCTAAAAATATAAGCAATGTGATTTAAGTTATATATACTAGGCAGTTATTATAATACCAGGGAATATTCTGGACCATGAAATGGAAAATCTATAGGCATCGAAGTTGAGGTTCTGCATCAAATCTATATCTTCCTGAAATGTGATTTCCACGAACATTGAACACCAATGTAAACTACATATACACATTATTATTCGTTAAGAATATATTATGATTAGTAGTAGTTTTTAGTACCTTGTAACGATGATATTGGTCCACTGTTATCTCAGCCGTGGCATTGTTGGCAATCTTACCTATGTTTTTGTTTTAATATATATCAAAAGAAATCGAAATGATGAATTAATCAGTCAAGTGAGTTTGTAATAATTAGATAGACGGTGAAATTAACCAGGAATCTTGACGAAGGCATCCCAAATACTTGGGCCACGACCGTCTTGGTGTGTCTCGCCTTCGACCTGATATGCTGACGTGGCCGTTCCAAACAAGAACCCTTCCGGAAAGCTCTGTCTTTTGAGATCGCCGGTGTCCAATGAGACGCCATCTCCGGAAGACGGAGGTTCGCCGGAGCGGGAAGCGGAGAGGAGGAGGAGAAAAAGAAACATGTGAGAGGCCACCGCTGTGGGACAGAGAATGTGAGTGAATTATGTCTGTGAGAGAGAGAGGATCAATGTTGGTTCTTCTAAATGTATACTTGATTGTAATTAATTAATTAATTGGTGAGATTAGATAAATTAATTGAAAATTCTCCTCTGTTTAATGGTAAAAACGAAAGTAATTAAATAATACTATTATACAGCCCAAAAAAAAACAGAATCTCTCGAGTCAGTGATCTTCTGATAATTAAAAAAAATTGACCACAAAAGATCACAATTTCAGACAAAACAGAGCAATTCAATTTTTGATAAAAGATATGCAGACAAAAAGACACTCACAAGTCACAACACACATTAACACAACCAAAGGGAGGAGATCCAAAAGCCTTCAAATGTAGGTGAAGCTCTTTCCAAAGAGACAAGATATCTTTTATATTATTTTACCTCAAAAGTCTTTTTATTGCGGAGTTAAGCTCCAGACGCGGATACAAGCATCTTCACCAGAACTCACTACATGGGAATCATCAGCAAAACCCAGACCATACACTCCTCCTAAGTGAGCTCCTTTTATGGTCATCCTTGAAGAAGCTGGTTTTTCCACTTCATACACAATCACACAGGTGTCCAATGATCCTGTTGCGACCATACTGCTGTTTGGAGACCAAGCTAAGCAGTTTATGCGGGCGCTATGGTACAACATGTTTTTGAGCTTCATCTGTTTTAAAAAGAGACCAATATAAGACAAATGTTTGTGTTCAAGATTTCATGGGGAAAGGTCTTAATTACCTCTCTGGAGACTCTGTCCCACACCACAGCTTCTCTGTTCACATCAGCTGATGCAAACATAGAGAGATCTGGAGAGTAACGTATAACACTGATGGCGCCTCTGTGTTTCTCGAGAACTGCTTCCTCGGTGAGGGAGTCGCCATTAATAGAATACAGATGGAGTTTACCATCTTGGCCCCCGACGATGGCTTCGGTTCCATCAGGTGTTACTGCCAAAGCAGTGACAGTGAACCCAAGGTTGATGGTTGACACTACTTTCCCACCACGGAGAAACACAACTCCTGACTCAAAAGTCACCAGAAGGAGATCGGGTGAAAGTGGTGCAAGGCTTAGATCATTTGGCTGATTTCCAATGTCGATGGACTCTTCGTTTGCGCATTGATCGTCTTTATAGGAAATCCTAGATATCTGAATCAGAATCAAATAGTGAAGGAACGTGAATTAGTTGCTTCAATAGTAATTATAAAGAACCAATTAGATAACCTACGAAATAATAATTATAGTCACTGCTAGTCCCAAAAGGTTAAGACCATTTGGCATTCAGTGATGGCTCTTTCAATTTCCATAAACCACAAGATTATTTGTATATTCTTCCAAAGTCTTAATGAGAGCATTTGTTCTTTAGCATTGCCAATAATCCAGGAAAAAAAACATCATTCACTTACATTCATTCGACATTCCCCTAGATGCCAAAGTCAGATCAATGCAGAAATCAAGGTGACAAGTCCTACATGTGAAAAAAAACTAGAAGTGAGAACCAATTTACCTTATTGTCATATCCAGAGGTCACAATCTCTTCTTCATGAGCAGCAAAGCACTTTATTTGCGAGTTCTGTGTCCGCTGCAATTTACCGCTAAAACCACGGCCTAGCATCCATTTACATATCAGACCATCATAACTACCAGATAATATGTAGTCAGCGTTTCCTTTGAACACAGCTAAGGAAGAGACATTCTTCATGTGCCCCGAAAACTGAAAGGGGGATTTATCAAGATCGCTTGCTGAGAATATGCTGATTGTGCCACCTAGAGAAACAGTGACAATATGATCGTTCTGCCACAGACACCCAACAAGCATATCGTCCACTCCACCTGATGATCCAGGACAATTCAATGTTGTCTTCAACGTTCCGCTACCGTTGTCTGATATATCCCATACTTTGGCTGACTTGTCTGCAGAAACAGTGAGGACCTGGTTGATGATTCAAACAAATACAGCATGTAAGTACAGATGTAGGCATCAATCCTGATGTAAATGTAATCTAGAATTAAAGGATAAAGAACAACTCATTGAATATTCATATATACTCTTAAAATTCTAGACCACAGCTCATGCATATACTGTATATACTAAAGCGGGTCAGAGCGGTTAATTTCATAAGCAGTTCCAATGGACCCTATTGAAGCCTAATGTACTTTGAGTCTAATATGACAGAATCAGAAACAGACATAACTAAGTACCTGTTTTCCATCAGGACTCCAGCTAACTGCATAGATGCTACCTTTATGCCCATCGTCAGGTGAGAGTTCTCCAAGTTTCTCACAAGTCTTTCCATCGTATATAATTCCCTTTTTATCTGAACTTACAGTAATAAACTTACTTCCATCTGGTGCAAACCTCACACAGTTGACAAAGTTGGAATGCTCTCTGTCGACCAAAAAAACAAAAAAAACTCGTACACCAATTCGAATTCACACAAGCAAGGAATTGACCAGATAGAGAAAGTTTTTCTCTTTGATGAAATGGAACAAAAGTAATAGAATATCTGACCTGCTTGAGAGCTTGAACTTGAAAGGAGGACCTTCATAGAAATTCACCAGAAAATCTTCCCCACAAGTTACAATACGGAACGGTCTGGTTGGCTTGATAGCACAGCTAAGAACTCGCCTGGAATGTCCATCAAACTCTCCCACATTTGATCCTGAATCCCACCTAATAAGAAGTGAACCTCTCGTTAGGCATCAAATGATCCAGCAAAATTGTGAAGAAGAAATGAATGATCAGTTCAATGTGATTGATAAGCTGAGACTTGATCCGACTCAACAATTGCAACACCAGCAGAGAAAACAAGATCTTTAATTAGTCCGATCAATCAAAGTCAACACACTTCACTTCGTCGAGAACTAAGCACTGCAAAAGCAATTTTTTTTAATCAAAGAGCCAAACAAAGATACTTACATGAAAGCACGAACAAGAGATTTCCCTTTGCCATCACCAGAAGCAACAATCCTCATCCCATCAGCCGACCACTGAAGATCATCGATCCGACCAGCCAAAACCTTAAACTCTTTCTTCAACACATGATCGTTGTAAGCCCCCCAGATTCTAACAGTCCCCGACACATCACCCGACGCGATCCACTCTCCGTTCGGTGAGTATCGCGCCACAGTAGCTGGGTAAGCGTGCTCGCCATAGATAGAGACCTTTAAAGGGTTGTTGAGGTCGAGCATCACGACGGATCGACCATTAGTGTAGAGGATGTTATCGGACTTGGAGTCACCTGAGATCAGGATTCCTCGACCCCTCTCCGTCGACGGAACGCAGGCGTACGTTTCGGAAAGCTCCATCAGAATCGAGAGACTTTGCAGAGATCGTTTTTGAGTGGGTTTCTTTTGGGTTTCACGAGAAGAAGAGACCACACAGCCGAAGTAAATGGCAAGGACGGTTTTGAGTCTTTTTGAGTTTTGTTTGACACAATTAGCTGTTTTGTTTAGGCTTTTTAATTATTGAGAAAAGAAAAAGATAATGTAATAATAATAATCATTGTTACAACATTCACTTCTCTGGCACAAACAGATTAATAAACACAACAAAATGTAAAGTGTAGCCTTATATTACTAATCACTTTGTCTATTAGACTAATGGGCATTATAGTTTTCCAAAAGAGGTGAATGTGCGGCCCATGGGCCAGTAATTTAAGCCCATACCAGCTAGATTTTGCAATATTGCCAAGTCAAATGAATCGGTAGCAGTTGATTGGCTCATTAGTGAATGGCTGGCTTATCTAACACAGCCACAAGTGGTAAGTGAAATATCTCTGTGATAAATCTTTTCTCAAGTGAATATCTCTAACGAATGAAAATGAATGAGAAAATAAAAGTGTCAGTCGTGGGGCTTTTACATCTCTTGGTCGCATTATCAGTTCATATATAAAATATAATATATAGAGATGAATGATGAATGTATTATTAGTGTTATAGAAGAAGAAGATAAGGAAACATAAGAACAAAGCTGTCACAAGTCTCTCTGTCTCTCTCAAACCAGCCACACCACCTCGTCCCCATTACTCACATGCCTTTCTCTATTATTCTTCTCTTCCAAAAAAAAAGATTGATACAGTTCTTTGATTGATTCCGCTCATATAATTTTGACATGACCGCAAAATATCGTTGAAATTTGTGGATTGCGATTTTTCTCAGAATTTAATTGACCAATAATGTTATAAAAGAACATGGCTACAACAACAACGACAACAAAATACTAATTTACAAAGACAGAACCAAGCCCTCTCTTTCTTCTATCTGAATTTCCACTTCTATCAACCAATCACGTAGCATCCCACAACATCACGATCAAAATCCAATTACCAAGTCACCGTAAGTCGTAAGTCATCACGACGGCCTTAGTAAGAGTAATGTGATGACGCTGTAAAGTAAGAAGTTGACCAAGTTATGCGGATACTGAAGTGAAGTTGCGGAGCCGTTGGAGAATTCCGAAGAGTCGACGGCTAAAGGCATACCGTCGCTGCCGAGAGCACATGAACGTGGCTCGCCGCCTTGGTTGAGCATGACGGCTCGGAGGACGGAAGTGACAGTAGGGAAGTAAGCAGTACGGTTCTTAGCGAGAAGCCAAGTTAGACCCATGAGGACACAATCTTTGTTGTGCATCTTTGCTGTTCTGTTTCGGTCTTCCTTAGATGGGTTTCTTGTACCTGAAGTATTCTTCGGGTTTAGCTGCAAAAAGTAACAGAAACCACAAGTGTTTAGTTTGCTTTGGTTTTGCTGCTATTGACTAAAGTAATGATTTGAGGGTTTAGAAAGTAGAAAGGTGGAAGCTAGTGGCTAAGCTTTTTTAAGTTATGGTGGGTTTGGTGATTAAGATGTAGAACAGTAGAAGAATGAAATCAAAAGACAAAATGGCGCGTGAAGATCAAAGCTATTGTAAACGCCTATGTGTGTGTCAGACTTGTCAGATAGAAAAAGAACAAAAAGCAAAAGAACAAAACTTTTCCCAAATTACCATTCGCCATGGATGATGGCCAGATCGGAGAGAATCCTAGACTACATAATTCCATATCTTCCTCAACCCTCACTCACTCATAAAGTAAAACCCTAACGTGTTGTTTAAACACCAAAGAACAAAGATCATCAATGGGTCAAGGAAAGTGATTACCTTTGGACTACCTAGTAAACCTGAGATAACTAACTTAGTCGATCAGATTCCTCATTACTCATCAAAAACATTGTCTCTGCTCTTTATCATCTAAACCAAAACCAGCTGCTAAAACACCAAAGAACACTAAAACACCAAAAAACACTAAAGGGCATTGGCAGATTATCTGAAGTTACTATATTTATCTGCAGACACATTTCACTATTGTAGACATCCTAGTTCGATTTGAACTCCACAATGACAGCTTCTAACAGTGAATCCAAACAGAATCCATCAGCTAGTTATAGGAAAGTTAGTGACTTTACCTTGTAGAGACTGTTCAAGCACTTGTTACAGCCAAGCAGAGGAGATACTCTATCAGCATTGTTGTGGCTTCCACTCAAACAATCAGTCTCTAATCTATGAACCCTCTCGTCTCCGACGAGTCTCCCTTCATCGTTCACTCTAAAAGCATCTGAACAGCTTAACGGATGCAATCTGATTCCGCAATAGCAGTAAACGACGTCGCAAGTTTCGTTCGGTCTGGTGAGCTCAATCCCTCTCTGCCTCAGCGATTTCCCCAGTCCGTCGACGCAAGTCTCCGAGTCATCGGGAAGCAACGGCATGTCTTCTTGCGTCATCGGGGAGGAGGAAGCGTTTCTGGCGGCGGCGGCGGAAATCGAACGGCTCAGGGCAGTGGTTGAGTAAGCAGAGTAGAGCCACGCGCCTAGAACCGGGCAGCATCGTCCCTTGTGGAGCTTCTTGCCGGTGCAGGCTGATTTGATGCCGTGGAAGAGGTCTTCTGGTAAATCAAGAGGGCAGCCGGAGAAATCGGATTGCTCCGGGAAAGCGGGTATGGTAGCGGGTGGGGATGATTTGACCAGGAATGGCTGGACGGTGACAGTTTCCGGGTTAGGCGAAACGGTTGACAGAATGGTAAAGAAGAAGAAGAAGACGATGGTGAGGGAAATGGGAGAAGGCGCGTGTTGGAACATCGCCGGAACAATGGAGACCAGAGTAAGAGAGGTAGTAGAGAGAGAGACAAAGAGAAAGAGAGTGAAGAGGAGATGTGTAATAAAATAACACAAATGGGATCTCAACTCGATATATACTTCCTTAATTATACTCCTACTATTTTTTTTTTTAAAAATGGTATTAATAATTTTATGGATTAATTAGTACATTTTGAAACATAATTGTAGAAGTAGTACATTTACTATTCATTATTAGCAAACTAATATATTTTTACTATTTGGACACTATTTAGACACTATTAAAAACCCCTTAAATCTAATAATTAAAAATATTCATCAAAATATATTTGTTTTCTATAGAATTTCAATTACATAAAAATCTATATTTTTTTCTCTATAATTTGATATGCATTTTTTAAAAAATAATTTCAAAGATTTTTCAAACAAATTTTGATACGTCCATCTATCCTTATGTACAATTGTGTGTCGATGTACGGAAAATCATCCGTACAACGGTCTATATATACGTATAATTGTATGTGTACAGATATTTTCTTGTCTATATATGTATATTTGTTTATGTGTAAATATGTTTATATGTAGTTGTTTCTCTTTGTACAAATATTTGATGTACAATAATATGTTATTGTACAGTTGTCTGTCTGTACAGATATCTGAAATAGTAAAATTGTACTATTTTGCTAATTATGAATAGTAAATGTACTATCTTTATAATTATATTTCAAAAACGTACTAGTTTGCCAACTCACCCTAATTTTATTCACTTGCGGAATAAATTTCATCAAACATTTTTGTAAACTTAGGGTTAAAAATAAACGTTATTGTAAACCCAAGGTTAAAATAAACATTTTTCTTATGCTTTTAAAGTATTGTTCAATGTGTAAGATGAAAATAATAGAAACCATGCTGTGCTAGCAAATTAGTTTATGAATTTTGTATTTTAATAAAGAGTCAAATTAGTAAAACCTGAAATAAGTTGAATCACGGGACGATTATTCTTGGCATTGAAACTTGAAAACCACAATGGCGTCTGATCGACAGGTTCACTTGTTTTTATTTTGTTTTGTTTATAATTTCGAATACATAAAAGAGTTTTTGGAAGGATTCGTTTAGTTTAATAGTCCCTTGTACTTATCATACTGACATGCTCCACTACATTTGGTATATGAGTTTTTTTTTTTTTCAAATGTCAATCAAATCTAACATTGAGATTTTATTTTTTTCACATCCCTCTGTAAGTAAATGTGATATGTATAATCGATCAAACTAGCAGGATATGTATAATCGATCAAATTATATTTTTTCACCCAAAAAATGCAATTAAATATTCCCAAATTAAACATTATGAAAACCAAAAGAATGATGCAAACTGTTATAAAAAAATAGTTTTATTGTGTTTAGATTTGGCTGTTTTATCATTTCTTTTTATTAAACTTTACACTAACTTCCATGTTAAAAAGAAAAAGGAATCCCACCAACGAAAATACTAATGTTGGATAGTAAAAAGGAAAAAGGAAAGAATTATGTGGAGCTCCATGTTAAAAAGGTAACGTCAGGCACGCGAATTGTTTTTTTTTTTTTTGGTAGAGTAACAGTAGTAGTAGTAGTAGTGTTAAAGCTGCTTGAACTATAAAACATTACAAAACCCTTTTTTTGGGAATGCCATTACAAAAGCGACAATACCTACTACTCACTGACTGTGTTCAAATTCAGTCGCTTTGGATATAGACTACAGCGAGTAAAAGGAAAAACTAAATTTTTGATAACATCTCTGATTGTATATTGTGGACTAATTTTAAACTTAGTAATGATATATGTACAGCTCGTAACAGTATTTTCACCGGCTCTAAAGGCGATTAGTAAACCAAAAGAGAGCAAAGAAAAAGCAAATTGGGACGACCAAAAAGAAAAAATTCAACTGTAACTCTCAAGTGATTCTATATCATTTGAGGATGAAGTGATCAGCATACTCACTTATATTATATGTATATAGTTTAGGCTTAAGCTTTAGGCATATATGGGTCAAGATTATGTGTTTTAATGGGCAAATACTTTGTAAGACACATATCCAAGGGTTAACATCTGGTGGGTACTTCCACAATTCTTCTACCATTTTTTTCATACAACTCGAATTGAAGACCAATCAAGGTTAACTTGTTTTGTTCATATCTCATGTCTCTCAGTATCTATCAAGATCATACCAATTCTTCTTCTCTGTGAGAGAGAGGTGTATAAGAATTGTCGAATCAGCCGCCTACTGTTAGCAACAAGTTTCACTCTCCCCGATATCTGAATCAAGTATGGAGAGCCGCCACCTTTTGAGACAAAGCATCAACCGTATCATTGTTCGATTCCCCATGCTGTAAACAAAACAAAAAACAAGAATGTGAAGAACAAATGATACAAACTTGTACTATTCTATATATCTCTGTAATGCTTCTTGGTTTGTACCTCGGAGTTGTTTCTTTGTTTCACGCCAATGCATTTCGATGCACTGATGCTGGCACTTTTTAGCAAGCTGCGAGCGCTGTAACCCGTTTGGCTCGTCCCATTCCTATAGTCTGAGCCCTCGTTTTGTGACGTTGGAGGGCTATCGAGGGTCGTGGCTAAAGAAGCTGTGGATCTGTTCTCGATATCATGATTATGTGATCCATTCTCTTTCTTAGGAGCAGGGACTCTCTCTCTGAAACAGAAAAGGTTCCAACACAACACAACGGCATGAGATGCAAACTTTAAAAGAACGGGGAAATCTGATGACTCTTAAATCAGTTTTACGTCCAAACCAACAAACGATATTGTATACCTAGGCAAGGAAGCGTGTTGGCGTTGAAGAGGCGAGCTTCTCTCGCCTGTACCGTAATTTTCCTCAAGATGTGCAAATTGTCTCTTAAACCGATCAACACCACTGCATTTTCAAAGATTACAAAATCTTTACCTTACTTCTCATAATTTGTAGTAAATTTCGAATACAGATTCTAAATTTTATATACCTTGGGTACATGAAGCTGGTTTGTTCTCCACCTCGAAGATATTCTTGCAGCATCTGAGGATGATACTCTAATATCTGCATTGTTTCATTTCAAGTTTTGTAAGGATTACTATTAACCAATGGATACGTGCAAAAAAAAGGAAGATACATTTTGCCATTGTTCAGAGCATAACCAATCCAAACAAGTTTAATGAAGCAAAAACAATAAGAGATTAGTGTACCTCTCTATAGATCAATTCTCTCACATCTTCTTTCGTTATCTTCCTTCTTTCAAACTCAAACACGAGTTTTGGAATCGGTTGAGTAGATGGTTCCCGATCCACGTTTGCCAGACCATAGAAATAAGGATCTGCCAGTGCCTGTATACACGCGCACACATACAGACATGTATATATAAAGTTTCCTTTTCTGCGAGGGGTTGAAACAGCTCTGAAACTTTGAAGTGGAAATGCTAGAAAAAAAAGTACAATACAGGAGCTTTACCTCTTCAGCTGTGGGACGGTCTTTGGGATCAAATGCAAGAAGACGGTGCAGTAAGCGAAGGGCCAACGGGTCTACATGAGGAAATTTGTGAGTAAATGGAACTGGCGGTTTTCTTCTCATATTTCCCAGGTACCTCCTCGCCTTTTCATTACGAATCTACAACATCAAAAAACGCTGATCATCATTACAGGAAACAGAAGTACAGTAACGTTATAACACTAGTATCCTCATATATCTGTGGGCCATACTTACATGAGCTTTCCTACCAATTAATATGAATTCAACCCAAGCTAGCTAGCCTAAACTACTTGGCAAAAAAATTGTGGCTAGAAGGTACTACAGTTACAGTACTAGTAAACAAATAGTCATGATTTATAAAACTTTTAACTCATATGGCATAAGACATCAAAGAACTCTAGCAAACAAATTGTGGCAAACAGAAATAGATGAACTCTACCAACTTACCCTTGAAATGGCTTCAGGAGGAGGAGTACCGAGCAAATCAGTCATAATATCCAATTGGTGCACCACATTCTTCCCAGGAAACAATGGCTTCCCAGTGAGCATTTCGGCAAATATGCACCCTATGCTCCATATATCAATGGCAGGAGTATACTGCAGAAACGAAAGGAAATCCCTTTAACCGAAGATTGTGATGTCATAATATGAACTACATACAACATTTGCAAGAAAAGGAGAATTGAGTTTTACTTTGGAGAAGAAAGAGCCACAAAGTTCTGGTGCACGGTACCATCTTGTAGCGACATAGTCCTGCAAAGAAGTAAAGCCATTTTATTCACAACAGTTAATGCATTAGAGAATATAAAGAAAAAAAAAACTTATGGTTTCAGTCTGTAACATACTGTCCAGAATATAGCCGAAGGTGCATCATTAAATGACACTCGAGCAAGCCCAAAGTCGCAAATCTTCAACTTGCAATCAGAGTTGGCTAGAATATTTTTAGGCTTCAAATCACGATGAAACACATTAGCTGCAACAAAGGGATAAAATTTCCTTCAGGTTGAGTTGAAAAGCAGTAATGGACAAAAGGGAACAATGAAAACACGAATTTCTCGTGCCAAGGCACTTGCCTGTGTGTATAAACTTGAGACCACGAAGAAGCTGGTAGAGAAAAAACTGGTAATGCTCAGGTGTAAGATCATCATTCGCCTTGATAACTTGGTGAAGATCTGATTCCATCAACTCAAAAACAACATAAATGTCTCTGAATTCACGGCGAGAGGGAGGAAGCATTACGTGTTTTATCTCCACTATATCAGGATGCCGGAGCAATCTGAGAAGCTTGATCTCTCTTAGAATTCGCGTTGCATCAGAGACATGCTCAAAAACATCATTAATTTTCTTAATGGCAACCTTTTCGCCTGTATGTGTGTCGATTGCAGATGCCACTACCCCGTAACTTCCTTTCCCTATAACTTCTTGGATTTGGTATCGACTGGCTTCACCATATTCTGTAAAGAACTCAGTCTCCAGTGCAACCTGCGATTGTACAAATGTGACATCATAAAACACCTATTCAGAATTTAGATTGGGGATTATCACCTAGTTCTCATACAGATCATCTTCTAGACATATAT